ATGGGAAGGCAGAGGGGGTTAGGAGCTGGCTGAATGGACGTGGGGAATCAAGGGCAGAAAGGAGGACTGTGCTGTCACAGTATGGGTAGAGCAATTAGGGTCACATAACAATGTATGTGTAAATTTTTTTATGGGAAACTAACTTGAAATGTAAACTTCATTTAAACTACAACAATAAAAAAAATTCAAATAATTTAAAAGAAGGGGTGGGATATAATGTATATCCACTCATTGTGAAAGCAGCAAAGCCTCATTAAACAGTAACTAACCCCTGGGAAGGCCATTCATTATACTATTTTTGCAACTTCTGTGGGTTTCAAGTTTTTCAAAATAATAAGGTAAAAAATAAAAAATGTAACTGACTTGAATAGGAAAAAAAAAGTAATAATTACAGCTACTCAATAATAATATTGAATATTAATCAGGGTGTTAATTAAGTAATTTTAAACCTCCTTTACATGGAATCCAAGTAAACTCAAGCCTTCTTATGCTGTGCAGAGCCTTCAACACATTTTCAGGGTTCTTGCTGTATTCATCTAGTTTCAAAAGCATCTGTTTCAGGCTGTGTTCTCTAGAGAAGCAAAACCAGTGAACCTTCTATAAATATATATAGAGAGAAAGAGATTTATATCAAGGAAATAGCTCATGAGGTTGTAGAGGCTGGAAAGTGCCAAGTCCATGGGTCAGGCTGGAGGCTTCTCCTGACTCATGTAGCTGCAGGGGCTTGTGAACCCAAGTTCGACAGTTTAGACAAGAGGCCTCTGGCTCACAGGCTGTGGAGGCTGATGAATCTCAAGACCAGCAGGTAAGCTGCTAGCTCAAGTCCCAGGAATTGGAGGTCAGATGAACAAAAGCCAATTGCAGGATTCAGAGCAAACAAAAGCCCATGAGCCTTGCCAGAAAGTCCACCTATATTGGATGCAGGCCACGTGCCCAAGAAAACTCCGTTTCAACTGATTGACTCCTCACAGCAAATTCCATCATGGAGGTGATCATATTATATCAGATCTCATCATAGAAGTGATTTCATCATTATACGACTGCAAACTACATCATAACTGCCAAAATACAGAGGCTCATGGCCCAGCCAAGCTGACACACAACTTTAATAATCACATCATCTGTTGTTAAGTAATGACTGGTGAAAACAATTTACTAACTGAACATTATATGCAAAATTATTGTTCTGGAATAGAACTATCCAGGATTGTATAATAATTTGAACCAGTTTAAAATTTTGAATATTATGTATTAGCTCAGGAACAAATGCAGAGGTAAGTAGTTCAGACACAGAGTGACTCCAATCACTCACATTAAAGAAGTTAACAAATGTTGACATCACAGGATTCCATACATCCAAATTCAAACTTTTATCATTTCACAATGAATTAGACAGATACATGATATCAACTATTCACTTCTTATAGCAACATGTCCGTTATACATTTGTAATGATAAGTCCATAAAGTCTGTTAAATACCAGTGTTAAATATATGTGAATTTCTCCAGTATCTTTCTATTATTGGTTTCTAATTTCACTCCATTGCGGTTCAAGGATAAAATTTGCGTGATTTCAGTCTTTTTAAATTTACTGAGACTTGTTTTATGGCCTAGCATACGGTTTATCCTAGAGAACACTCCATGTGCACTTGAGAGGAATGTATGTTCTGTTGCTCGATGCAATGTGCTTTAGATGTCTGTTAAGTCTGTTTGACTTATGTTGTGTTCTAGTCTTCTATTTCTTTGTTGATCTTCTATTTGCTGTATCCACTATTGAAAGTGGAGTATTGAAGACTCCAACTATTGTTGTTGGAATGTTTGTGTTCCTTACATTCTGTCAGTTTTGCTTCACATATTTTGAGGCTCTTGTTAGGTGAATTATGTTTATAATTGTTATAAATTCCTGATGGATTGATCATTGTAAGATTGTAAAATGTTCCTATTTATTTATAATAACACTTTTGTTTTAATTCTATTGTGTCTAATATTAGTATAGCCACTTTAGCTTTCTTATAATATTTGCAGTTTACATGATAAATTTTTTCCATCATTTTATCTTCAACCTGTCTGTATCTTTGAATATAAAGTGTGTCTTCTGTAGGTAGTATAGAGTTGAGTCTTTTTTTTTATCTAGTCTGATAATCTTTGCCTCTCAATTGTATTGTTCAATCACACTTAATGTCATTATTGATATAACTGGATTTATGTTCTCTGTTCTGCCTTTTGTTTTCCATATTTCTCATGTATTTTTGTTCTTCTATTTCTCCTAACATATCCCTTTGTATTAAGTGAATATTTTCTAGTGTAACTTTGTAAATGTTTAATAATTTTTTCACTATAGTTTTAAAGTTACTTTCTTAGTAATTCGGTTGTTGTTGTTGGTATTTGCTGTCCAGTCCATCTGACCCATGGTGATCCCATGTGTGCAGAGCAGAACTGCACTACATAGGGTTTTCACGGTTATGACTTTGCATCTTAATTTATCAGAACCTGCTTCAAATTTATACTGTTAATTCCAGTGATATACGCAGGCTCTCACTATTCTTACCAAGTTTTAAGAGCTTTTCTTGAATAAATGTTTCTTCATTAAATGTATATCCTTAGGACAATTCCTACTGATTTAAATTTTTTTCAATATAATTTTCACCATTTATGCTTATGTAGCCGATAAGCAGTTCCACAAAACTCGATGTGCTGTCATTCCAAAAGCAGCACAAGAATAACTTATTTTTTGCAAATTTTAAAAAACGTTTAACTACATAAAATACATTGCTAGGTATTGTTCCAAGGCCTTGGAAGGGGACTGTGCAAGAGGGGGGCCCTGGAAATTGAGCTTCATTAGCTTCACAATAAATTAGCCTCCATTTAAGTGGAGGGTATTACTACATAATTGTAAATACTTGAGAGATGCTATATATTAAAAATCATGTTGTGAGGGCCAGTGGGTGTGAGTGTGGCTATTTTCAACGGCAAGGAAAGATTTCTCGTAGAGGGAATCAACTTAAGACAACACAAAGACATTTTTCTGGTTGATGAAGCATTAACTGATGTGTTCCTGATGATTAGTTTTACAGAGGATCTAAAAAAAAATTCTACATGTAGAAATAAAGTTTGTAGATTGCATAAAACTCATCTCAGTCATGAAATGTCCAAGTTTTCAGGGGAAAAAAATGCCGGAAACATTTATGAGCCTGCCTAAGTAGAAAGAAAAATGGTAGATGCACTTTAATATGTAACAGTATATTAAGCGGCTTATTTAGGAAAATATTAATATAGAAATATACATATAAAATAATGAGACATTAGCAATTTCCAGAAACTAGAAAAATTGTTTGGGAAGAACTATGAACTAGTTTTTGGAAAATTAGTCCATTTTGTCTATGTGAATAAGGAAAAGCACAATGCTGAGGATAACTGAGAAAGTTTATTAAAATCAAACACTTTCAAAACCTCAAATAAACGGGCCTTTTAAAGAACCTTTAAAAAGTAACATATAAACGTATGCTGTTTGAACTAATGGAGAAAGAGTTGTACTAATGTTATAGAATCAAGTATCAGTGATTTAGGATAAAATATAAATACCCTATACAATTTCAGAAAGTGCTGCATTTCAAATAACTTTAATGGAAGTAAGGATGACATACTTTGAAAAAATAATTTAAATGATTTTAAGGTAACTTTAATAATGAAGCTACAATGTTAAAGAAGGATGTAAAAAGTTTGGATAAAATTATTTTATTAATGTAAGAAAAAACAATATACCTGCATTGCATAAATATGTCATTTTAAATGTGTCTAACTAAATTAACAAATTAAACAATTTTCCTAGACATTTTTCTACTCCTTATACATTTCTAAAGGTTTTTTTTATTCAAATTGGTAAAAGTTAGAGCTTTTGTCTTATATTTACTCCTTTACTACATTCTTTTGCATTAAGTAGTTAGAGTATATCCTTCCTCAGACTCTCGGTTTTCACTTTAGACGGGAGATTAAACCACTATTTTGCATGATTTTAGTCAGGGCTGATTTAGACATAGAACATAGCTCCTAGAAAGTAATCAATAAGAAAGAGTTATTATTATTACTCATTCAGTAAACATAGAGAGGCAGTCTAGTGAAGTGGTTCAACAAGAGAGTTTGGGATCAAAATGGCTTGGGTTTATTTATGCTGTGATTTTGAACAATTGATTAAATCTTTCTGTGCAACCATTTCTATAAACTTACGAGGCAATATTTGTTATGAAATTTACCTTAACCCATGGAAAGAGATCAGTATTGAACCTAGAACAAGTATGCAGTACATGGGAATTAGCCTCCTCTTGTGGTAGGGGCTTGGTATTTGCAAGTGAATAAGACATGTTTCTTCCCTCACTCACTATATCTATATATGAGTTTGTCAATTATTTCAGCAAATGAGACCTAAAACAATATGATGCTTCCTCATTCTAGGCTTCTCAAAGTGCCCCTCAAACCTGAGATAAATTTTATTACATTCAAATGATTCGATGGACATTTGCTTTTTTTTCACAGCTCGTGGTCTCTAAGATCTCTTCAAAAACAGAATATGAAGACTCTAACTGAGAAATCATGTCAAATCCACATACCTTCCCACTACTCATAAAAACCCATTGCCATTGGGCCGATTCTGACCCATAGCGACCCTTTAGGACAGAGTAGAATTGCCACATAGGGCTTCCAAGGATCGGCTGGTGGATTTGAACTGTCAGCCTTCTGATTAGCAGCCGAGCTCTTAACCACTACCCAACAGCACACACGCAAAAAAACTAAACCTGTTGCCCTCGAGTCATATCCAACTCATAGTGACCCTACCCTGTGGGATAGAGTAGTACTGCTCCATAGGGTTTCCAAGGAGCACCTGGTGGATTCAAACTGCCAATCTTTTGGTTAGCAGTCAAACTCTTAATCACTATGCTACCAGGGTTTCCACCCGCTATCACAGGCCCTTGCAATTCCTTTTATGGTTGTTAACTCACTGACTTGCCCTCAGTGCTTGCAGTTTCATTATTACCTTAGTCCCACTACAAAGGTTGCTTTGTTTACTTACAGGTCCTCTTGAGGAAATCCTGAAAGCCCCAGGACATGAGAGGAGTGAAATAAAAGCCCAAAGATCCAGAGAGAGACAGAGAAGTAAGAGAAATCACTTAACCTAACTGAGGAGAAAAAAACAGGTAAGAACTCTTACTACTTTCTCATCAAGCAGCTTTCTCTCCAGCTCTAAAGGATCTCTGCTGTAGGACATTGAGCCTGTGATAAGGTTGGGGCAGTTATTTTTTTAAAAATGACCAGCACCAAGATAAGCTGCACTGAGCATGAGGACTTCAGATGGAATCCTGTCCTTGTCGGGCAGCAGTGTCCCTGAGGGCCCACTGCTGTGCTCTGGGTTGAGTCAGGCACCAGCAGAGGAGAGGCCTAAGTTGAGAACTTGAAATGCTTTAGGATCATCTTTTTCTTCTTGACATTGTGTGCCAACTGGGCAAACAAACCACCATTGACTTTGAAGGAACTTGCTTAATACTGTTTCAACTGCAGCTAAGAAACTGAAAGGGCTACTGATGTGTTATTTTCATGAGAATAAAATAACAATAAATAAGATGCAGGGTAAAAAGCTCATCAAATCTGTTAAAGACAAAGAAAGAGAAAACTGAAACTCAGAATTTCCGGAACAGAATATTCTTTTTAATCACAGGCTTGTACTTTGTTTGTAAGTAGAGTTCTTCTTTTAGAAACAGTCCAGACTCACTAGTCCAATTTCTTTGTGCTTACTCACTCCTTAAACCCTTACAAGTAGAAATTCGACTCTCTTCTTTACTGAAACGCTTCCTCTTTAAAGAATCTACCATGTGCAGTATCTTTGCTTACCTTGATTCCTCCCTGCTCTCCTGAAATTTGATCCCTTTTTCTGGAAACTTCTCTCCTGAGGTCCTTGGTATGATACTAGCTTCATTTATCACTTACTTGTCTGACTAGCTCTCTCTTTGTCAGCTCTTCCTCCTTAGCCTACCGTCCCCTCTTCCACCACCATATGAAAAAATACAACAGAAGAGAATCCAAAAGTGAATGACTCTAAATACAGATATTTTCTTAGAACATCTTCCTTTCTAGGTCGCCTGATCTTTTTCTCTACTTTTAACCTTATTTTTTCTGTTCCTTACTGTATTTTTGTACTCTTCTCACTATCTCTCATTATAACCAAGAAATACCATGATATTTGTGATTCACTTTCAGCCCCATTATAACGCTAAGGGCTAAGTTTTACAATTTCCATTTTCTGAAAAACATGTCTAAAGATGTTTAAGTAGCATGTCAAATATTAAACAAATACTAAATCTTGCTCCAAACAAACAGATACAATATATTGACCTTCTTGGTACCCCTGTTCACTCTGACTTTTATGTTAACATCTTCATGTAAAAAGGGTCTTTTTTATACCTTCCATTATTCTCCTTAGCTTTTTGAACATACAGAGTAGTTTTAACTATTTTTAATGTCCTTCTCTGCTAATTCTAACATCTGTGTATGTGCTGCCTAGATTTTGATTGATTGGTTTATTTTTCCATTATGGGTTGTATTTTCCTATTTCTTTGCATTCCTGGTATATTTTTATTGGGCCAAGCATTTGAGTTTTGTCTTGTTGGGTGCTGATATTTCTGCAGTCCTAACAATATTCTTGAGAATACCTGGAAACAGTTTGGGTCTCTCAGGTTTTGTTTTTAAAGTTTGCTAGACAAGATCCAAGCAGTGTTCTGCCTAGCGTTAAATAGTCCCCTCCACTGAGGAGAGACTCTTCAATGTATTCTTTCCAATGCCACATGAACCATAATTTTTTCTAGTCTACTCAGTGGCAACAAGTACTATTAGTGACACTGTAAGAGCTCTGGGAATGGTTCCCTCCAATTCTTTTGGGTGGTTCTTTTACTGATCTTGCACAGTATCTTAACACACATGCCCTGATCACCATTCACTGATAGTTGAGGGGATTTCTACAGCTCTCTCGAGTTCTCTCTCTATACAGCTGTTTCCTCTCTGGTCCTATGTTCATAATATTCTAGCCTTTTTCATCTCGATGATTTTTCGATTCCATCTACTCACCTCAGGGAGTTCACCTGCTCCAGCTGGGTTTTCCCCTCCTGCACCAGTGTTTGCATCTCTCTTAAGTCAGTAAGCTGGGACAATCATAGGTATACCTTGTTGGATTGTTTCCCAGCTCTCAGGGATCCCTACCTTTTGTTGTCTGATGTCCATTCTCTTGAAAACTGATGTTTCATATTATACTTTGTCCACTTTTTGATTGTTTTCAGGAAGGGGGGATAATTCCACACATCATTGCTCCGTCTTGGAAGGAAACAGACATCTCAGCAAATTGATTTTTATTTTAGGAAAGCAGAGTAAAACAGAATTATTAAGAGAAAACTGGTCTGAATTTCAAAGAGTGAACCTGTGTTGTGTCAGAGTAAGTTCTGATTGCAGGAACTGAAACACAGAAGTTTGAAGAAAGTAACACATAAGACATTACTAAAAGAGTTCTTTACACTCATTTCTTACACTGTGCAATTAGAAAAAAATGTTTTAAGACTATTAAAACTAACACATCAACAATTATGTATACATACTCTTCTAAAAGCAGAGTTTAGAGAAGAAAAGAGCCATGATTCATCAGAGAAGGCCTCGGGATGACCTGTCAGGTTACAAAGCAATATGCCTTGCCTCAACACAGAACCTTGATATGCAGTAAGCAAACTGATAAAAGATTAAAGTACAACCTAGATTACCAAATATTGGAGGTAAAAAAGAATTAATCTAAATATGCAAGGAGGTGAAAAGAAATCATAACACAAACGCAATGGTAGATTCTAGAAAGTAAGCCTAAGTTGCCACGTGGAAAATGGGGATCCTGTTGCACAGCAAAGATTAAGACCCAGTATGCCACCCTATAGAACTGACATAAAGGGTCTGGGGTCTTAGTGAAGTAGGATCCAGACTTGGGATCAAGCATAGAAAACATGGAAAAATCATCAAGGGTCAGAGCATGTGAGAGACTCTATTAAATAATTGAGATCAGAAAGTACAATACATGTAAACACAGGAACTGTTTGTGAGTTAATTTTATCTCACGATAAGACTAATAGTTCGTTAAAGTCAGAAACCAAGCACCTCGCATTTAGTCTATGCATGAGATAAACACTTCATAACACTTAGTCTATGCACAAGGACTACAAAAAATAAATCCTCATTCAATGAAGGAATTAATGAATGAATAAATAAACTATGAATATTTTACATATAGCTAACATGTAAAAAAATTTCTCTTATTCGATTTCCTCTTCATGTGTAGTTTAAATTTCTAATGGTAATCCAAAAGAAAGTTTTCCACAATAAACTACATGGAAAATTTTGGTCATGAGAGTGAGTTAATGTTTATAAATCCCTGTCATTACAACATTTGAATCACTAAATTTTTTTTTAATATTTCCATAACATTCTAAAATGATAAAAGTCTTCCCTTCATCTAGCTGATGTACAGAAAATTTGTGGCCGTACTGTGTAATTTTATGATGTAATGAAGGCAAAGTAACCTGGTGACATTTGTTTCTCTGCTATAAGACAGGAAATTCCAGTCCATCCTACCTCATCCCTTGCAGACAAGGTTAACACCCTGAACATGACCTCAGACCACATGCCAGGTCCAGTGTGCCTCATTGAGAACATAGATGGGAAACTGATGGTTAATCAGGAAGCCTTGACGATCCTGTCTGCCCTTACGCAGCCTGTAGTGGTGGTGGCTATTGTGGGTCTCTACCGCACAGGCAAATCCTACCTGATGAACAAGCTGGCTGGGAAGAAACAGGGTAAGTAGTATCAGTAAACTCTGCTGAGTCCCTTCTGCCTGTTCACACCATCCAACATTGAATATGGTGATGTAAGAAGAGAAAGTTTAGAGATGGAATGAATAATTTGGAAAATTTTAGATCCACAGTTGTGATTCTTGTCTTCAGCTGTTCTGGAGGATAAGAGTCAGCTAATTCCGTCTTCCCACTTTACCTTAGTTTCCCCTTTTAAAAGTATAAATGTTCTTTTTCCTGGTGGAATAAGGCAATGATAGCAATAATCAATGTACATGTAAATAAACTATAAGACATTAACTAATATGTTCATGTAGTAACAGCAAGTGTCCACTGGTCTTTAAGATAAAATAAAATGTTTCAATCTACATTAGATATTCTAGTTTCCTTATTTCTCTAGTTGTAATTAAGATCAAACCTGGTTGTGGTTTCAGTCATTGCTCCTAACCTTGGTTACTTTAACTCTTAGCTCAATTTCCAGAATTTTCTGCTATTACATCTCTAGCCCTAATATCCCACTGCAGGCTTCTCCCTGGGCTCCACAGTGCAGTCTCACACCAAGGGAATCTGGATGTGGTGTGTGCCTCACCCCGAGAAGCCAAACCACACTTTAGTTCTGCTTGACACTCAGGGCCTGGGAGGTGTAGAGAAGGTAAGGAAGGATTCAATTTTGAAGTAAGGTCCTTATCTCTGAATACCCTAACACTATTTAATTTTTCATTATAAAAGAGCTTCCACTTAACCATAATATATATTTTCATTTCTGTATGTGTGTTATGAGGCCAAGTTTAGCAATTAAGGGCAAGGAAAATATTCACAAACCACAATTCTAGGGGAAAAATGTGATGATCAGGGGACAATAGTCTCATTATTAACTACTGGCTGTGAGATAAGTCAGTTAAGCCAGCTGCATAAAGAGAGTGCTAATAAAATCAATGTCATGAATCTTACCCTGCAGGGAAGATTAGTTGATGATCTGGGTCCCAAAGTCTTGAGAATTTGTGTTCAAACTGAAACTCTGTCTCTTAACTCAGTGTCTTTAGCAAAGTAGTTGAGTTCTTGAAACCTCAGCTTTGTAATCTATAAAATGGATGAAATATATCTGTACCTACCTCCTAGTAGTGTTTGGAATATTTCGTAAGATAAGTAATGTCAGGTATATAACAATTGCTCAAAATTATTCACAATTTTTCCTTCTATAAGAGCTTCCACTTAAGCATAATATATCTCTTTATTTTCATTTACATAATACTAATCCAAATTTAGAAACCAGAGTTAAATATTCATAATCCAGAATTCTAGCAGAAGAGCATGGTGATCAGAATTCTAATTAGTGTTCTAGTCATTTACTACAAGCTGTGAGCAAAACCAGTAAACCTAGATATATAAAGATAGAACGAATAAAATCAATGTCATGTGCCTTATCCTTCAGGGAATGTTAGTTATTATTTGAGTCCTGAAGTGCTGAGAATTTGTGTTCAAATCATAGCTCTGTTATATACCAAATTAGTGGTTTTAGCAAGCCATTTGACTTACTTAAGCCTTGCTTTTCTGATCTACAACATGGATGTAACTGTTCTATAATTATACCTTCATAATTATACCTGACTCATTGTATTGTTTTGATATATTTATAAGATATTAATAAGATAGATCACCTAAAGTTTCAGGTACATAGTAATAACTCAATAAAATAGGTGCAATTACGATTCTTATATAAGTAGATTTTCTTTTACAAAGTGAAAAATTTTGTTTTAAGTCTTCAGGATGTCCGCTAACCTTGAGTATTTATTTTGCAATTATCTGACAATGGTCATAAGAGGGCCTAGCGAGCTGGTAAACAATGAATCAGTGATAACCTAAAATACTAATGACAAACTGACAAAAGTCCAAGGCCTACTAACAACAATTTTTGTTTGGATTTGAGTTCCTCTTAGAGGTCATTAGTCTAGAAAAGCTCTAATTAAATGAGCACACTTCACTATTGCTAATCAGGACAGTGCCATGAGAATGAAACACACTCCTGACCCCACTGTGTTCTGACTTCCAGGAAGACAACGAGAATGACTCCTGGATCTTTGCCCTGGCCATCCTCCTGAGCAGCACCTTCATATACAATAGCATGGGAGCCATCAACCAGCAGGCCATGGACCAACTGCAGTATCCTTTTGTGGCCAAAGACAGCCCCAAAGCCAGAGGGATATCTGTATTAAACAAACCAGTTGCCGTATAGTGAATCCTGGGGAACCAAGCACAAAAAAAAGAAAACATGAAATATACTTCAAGTACAGGGCAAAGATTCCATATATTGACTGATGAATTAACATTTTGTTAAAAGCACAGGCAAAATGAAGGTTTTTGGAATATGTGGAACTAATATGGGATGAGAGGCCCTGTTAATTTTGCCACTTTTCCTTAGTTAGCTACTCAGCTATGTGACAGAGTTGACAAATCAAATCAGGGCAAAATCCTCACCTGATAGTAATGAGGTTGAGGATTCTGCTGACTTTGTGAGATTCTTTCCAGACTTTGTGTGGGCTCTGAGAGACTGGATTCTGAAGCTTGAAGCAGATGGACAATCCATCACAGCAGACAAGTATCTGGAGAATTCCTTGAAGCTAAAGCCAGGTAATATGGATGAATCATTGGAAAATAGGGAGGAAAAAAAAGAATTCAGGAATTATCATTTTTGTGCAGATGCTTACATTTGTAGTTTGTATTTCTACAAGGCTAGTCTTAAGAAGAAATTCTTGTTTATTACCTGAATTAATAGATTTGATTTTAAATTGCATTATTCCTTTCCTCATGGGGAAAACATATTTTTTTAATCCGCTTATGATTATGTTGCTTTCATCTCCTATTTATAGTTTGTGACATCCGTACGTAGCCAAATAATATGGAGTAGAAAGATTATTTATTTTAGCTAAATGTTTAAAGTGACACATGAACATTGTACTAGATATATCTTCTTTTTATCCTTCTCTAGGTACCAGTCAAGAAGAAAAAATTTTTAACCTGCCCCGAGTCTGTATCCAAAAGTTCTTCCCAAAGAAGAAATGCTTTGTTTTCCATCCACCCACTAAGTGGAAGAAGCTTGTCCATCTTGAGACACTGCAGGATGATGAGCTGGATTCTGAATTTGTACAACAAGTTGCAGAATTCTCTTCCTACATCTTCAGCCATTCTAAGATCAAGATTCTTTCAGGCGGCATTAAGGTCAATGGGCCTCGTGAGTCCCCTTCTCAGTACTTCCAGTTACTGTTCAGAATAAGGGAGGGAAGTGTAATAGCCACTTAATTCCAGCTTTGAGAAATTCAGGGCCTACTGCTTTTATTTTGTTAAATTCCAGACAGTCTAAAAATATCTAATGTTTTTTAATACTTAAATCTCTTGGGTGTGAAAATGTAAGAAAGCTCAAGGAGAAGTTCTATGTTTAATATTGATCTAGTCAGCTAGACCTGCACTGTTAAAACCAGGGAACCAATTGACATATGTTGTTATTTAAATTAAAATTTAAATTAATGAAAATTTTAAAAATCAGATCACATGACCATATTTCAAGGACTGAATACCTCTATATGGATATTGTTGTTAGGTGCCATCAAGTGGATTTCGACTCATAATGACACCATGTGACAGAGTAGAACTGCCCCATAGGGCTTTCTAAGCTATAATCTTTATGGAAGTAGATTGCCAGGCCTTTCTCCTGTAGTCATTGGGTGAGCTTGAGCCACCAACCTTTTGGTTAGCAGCCTTGCATTTAACTTCGCACTACCAGGGCTCCTTAACGTTTAGCTACTGCGTACTATATTGGGACGTGTAGACATAAACCATTTTCTTCACTGAAGAAAGTTTTATTGGACAACTCTGACCAATACTGAACCAAATGAAGGACTCCTTTCAATTGGGATAGCATCATTTTATTCCACAAATATTGATGGAAAGCTTACCATGGGCCAGGCTACAGATACTCGATGACAAAGATATAAAAGCAAGAGAAATGGTTTCTGTCATAATGGTACTTGGGAGTAAATGGAAGCAAACATGAGATACACATAGGGGTACTTTATATAGAACCGTGATGCGCAACCTTTGTTGTGTATACATATCACCTGGGGATCTTGACAAAGGGCAACTTCTGATCAGTAGGTCTGAGGCATGACCTGACAATCTGCATTTCTGACAAGCTTCCAGGAAATGCTAATGGCATTATGTTGTGGTGGAAATAGACATACCAGAATTACACAGAATAGAGATGTGTCATCACACCACCTACAGTGAATATCACCAATTGTTCTCTATTTGAAGGTCTGAAGAGCCTGGTGCTGACCTACGTCAATGCCATCAGTAATGGATCTCTGCCCTGCATAGAAAATGCAGTCCTAGCCTTGGCTCAGATAGAGAACTCGGCCACAGTGCAAAAGGCCATTGCCCACTATGACCAACAGATGGGCCAAAAGGTGCAGCTGCCCACAGAAACTTTCCAGGAGCTGCTGGACCTGCACAGGGCCAGTGAGAAAGAGGCCATTGGAGTCTTCATCAGGAATTCATTCAAAGACATAAACCATTTATTTCAAAAGGAATTAGCGGTAATTTTTCTCTCTAGTTTGTATGAATTATAGTCTTACAAGGGAAAACACTACTTGAAAATGAAAAGGGTATTTCTTTTTCAGAGTAGCAATTCTTACTAGACTTTAAAATGATGACAACCACCTATTAGTAATCAAAGTAATCGGAAGAACTAATTTCATTATTATGGACTCAAAGTTTTGAGACATTTTTTTCTTTCATGAATAAACTAACAGTCTTCCTTTTAATTAAGTGCATATAACTGATAATAGTCAGTCTGGTAATAGTGGGCATGCAGTCTATTTAGAAGCTCTGTTACCAAACTAACTTTATTTCATATTAACGAAAAGCAAGAAACTTCTGGTCTTAGGTATTTTGAATAGGCTTATGTTGTTACACTTTTATTCCATATATGACAATCATTGGTCTAATCTGAAAAGCAGAAGTTCACTAGTAAAATTGAAATGTAATCTAGTAATCTCTGGTCTGACCATCACCTCCAAGAACAAAGAGACCTAGAAAGTCCAGATCAGGAGAGAGTATATAGTTCTGGTAAGGTGTTTATGGTTCAGACTTTTTTAAGAAACATTTGTAGAAATTCCAAGGTCTTGCTAATATCCTTTCCCTGTTGTTCTCCCTACTCCCTATTTTTACATTAAAGGCCCAGCTAGAGAAAAAGTGGAATGACTTTTGTGAAAAGAATCTGCGAGCTTCATCAGATCATTGCTTAGCTTTACTTCAGGATATTTTTAGTCCTCTGGAAGAAGAAGTGAAGCAGGGAGTTTATTCTAAACCAGGGGGATATCGTCTCTTCATTCAGAAGACACAAGAGCTGAAGAAAAAGTACCTGCAGGAACCCAGGAAGGGGATACAGGTAACCAAGATTGTCAGTTCTGGTAAGCTGCTGAAGTGCCTCTTTGAAACACCAAAGTGATCAAGGGTAATTGCACACCAGTTGCTATAAAGTTGACTCTTACTCATGGTGACCCCATGTGTGTAAGCGAAAAACTGTGCTACATAAGGTTTTTAATGACTTATATTTCAGAAATAGATTACCAGCCTTTTCTTCTGAGGTTCCTCTGGGTGGAACCCAAACCACTTACTTTTTTGCCAGCAACCAAGTGTGTTACACATTTGTACCACTCAGGGGCTCCTAACTGCACACAAATGTGCCCTATTGTCTGCATATCATTTACTCTTTCCTTCAATAAACATGTACAGGGAGCCTGTTATATTATATATGTCCTAGGTGCTCATCAAAGAGAGTGTAATTAACACTAACAGGATAGCCCACCATTATAGCTGATCATTGATGATGCAAAGGACAAAAACCCAATGATAATCATTTAACCAAATATGGTACCTTATCAGTTTAAGCTTCAAACCAGATTTAAGGACACCTGGATCCAAGAGTTCAAGCAATGTCATCATCTCTTTCTCTGTCTTTTGTTCCCTCAGACCCACCATTTCTCACTCAGCCTTCTGCCTCTCTCTCTCCGTCCCTCTGATCCACTTTTTCCATGATGGCTTCATTATCCAGCAATCTCACTCCATATATAACCACAGTATCAACAACTCCAAACTTAAAGCCCTCAGTGTAAAAAGGACCAAGAGTCTCTGTCTCCCAGTATCCATATCAGTCTTCTGTAAAGGACTCTGCTTAGTGATATGCTCTGATTGGCCAGCCTGGAGCATGTGCACACCTGTGACAGTGAACCTTGACTGTTAGTCTGATCAGACTCAAAAAGAGTAGTCTCTAGAGGAAAAGATGGTGGGCTGACAACACAGGAACAAATGCTTACAGCCATTTCCTTCTACTAACTCTGTGTTCTCTGGCTCCTAAGGCTGAAGAAATTCTGCAGAAATACTTGATGTCCAAGGAGTCTGTGACTGATGCAATTCTACAGACAGATCTGACTCTCACAGAAAAAGAAAAGGAGACTGAAGGTGAGGAGCGAGTCAAGAAACTAGACAGACAAATGCTCTTAAAAGTTTAAATAATTTGGATGGATAAACCTGTGATCTTCAAACTAGAGCAAGAACAGCAAAGATGTGTTTGAGCTAAGGTAGTCATTTCTGAGTGGGACATAATACAGTCAGTAGCCTTATGGTTACTTGGGGAAAAAAAATGCTCAGAGGGAATTTCATCTATGAAGTAAGAACAATAACAAGTAAGTGTGGAAGAAAAAAGGAAGTAACACTATAAACCTACTTGAATTTTTTTCTTCCTTTTCTTCCAGTGGAACGTGTGAAAGCTGAGTCTGCACAGGCTACAGCAAAAATGTTAAAGGAAATGCAAATAAAGCATCAGCAGTTAATGGAACAGAAAGAAAAGAGTCATCAGGAACATGTGAAACAATTGACTGAGAAGATGGAGGACAAGAACCAACTGTTGGCACAACAAGAGAGCATTCTAGCTCTCAAACTTCAGGTATTTAATTGTGTCATTTCAGTTTTGTCTTCCACTGCTCCTAATTAAGAACAGCACGGAAGTTACACCTTTACTCCAAGAATAAGAACTTTGCCAGATCAGACATTCGTGTCAGCTGCTCATTACCTTACTGCTTCTATCTGTTACCATTTCTTGTCTTTTACATGAAGATTTGGATGCAGTCATTCATCATTATATCACTCAATAAACAGTAGCTATTAATTGCCAAGCCCTATACAAACAGCTTTACATTTATTACATATTTAATCCTCATCTTACGGCATAGGAACTGTTATATTCTCTTTTTTTTAAATGAGAAAATTGTAATCTCATGAGAGATACATTACTTTTCTGGATCATACTGCCTTGAAAAATATCCAGTTCACCTTTCTTACTGTGGGGAGTTCACAATGATTTTGTTTCTGCCATACCTTGTAGGACTGTCTGTCTGTAAGCACTCTAATGAGTAGGAAGACTCCCTAACCATCTACCCACTTAACCCACTGGTTAAGTGCCCAGTCTGCCAGGGCATTCCTGTTCTTTAGCCATACTATGAATCCATGTTGAGTATGAATGTTGGCCCAGAAATGCAGTATTGGCTACCACAGACCCTGATCTCCTTAACTTTTTTCTCTTTTTACTTCCACTAAAATTTTGGAGTCTTGAAGTGAATCCCATGTTCAGACATTACCCCTGATTCTCAGCATCATATAGAAATCTTTTTTGATTTCAAACATCCTACTAGAATATACATATATATGAAAATCCATACAGGTGAGAGTTGAAGCAAAAAAAAAAAAAAATATTGTGGGGGCGGGGGGGGACATAATTTCCACAGAATAATTGTGTTCAATGTGGGTTCAAGAATCCCTGGATGGAATTCTAAGACAACAATATTTTAGGTTCTACAAAAAAATTAAAATTCTGAAACTAGAGAAAAGGGCCAAGAAAAATTAATAGCAAGGATGGAAAACTCAGTGAGAGTGATATAATGAAAGTTAAGAGAGGAAATTGTTTCAAAAAAAAGGGTCATAACTCTTGAGAATTAGTGGAAGTACTACAAGAGAAACTAATTTGGCAATTATGGAACAAGTTCAGTGATCCTGTTTTATGCTGTGTGAGTTTAAGTATTCTCTTTTCCTCTTTAGGAACAGGAACAACTTCTTAAGGAAGGATTTAAAGAGGAGAGAATAAAACTTCAGAAAGAGATCCAGGATCTCCAGATGAGAAGCATAGAGACAAGTACATCAGGTATCATAATCTAATAATCCAAAGAAAAGAGCTTTACTCTCCCATATCTTCTCACGAGGGTATAAGTTAAATGAGCAACTTGAGAACATCAGTCAATTTCCACTAAACAAAACTTGAAATCATGATGTCTGCACTTTTGTTGAGCCATAAAGTTTGCAAAGATGCAGCTTAAGTGAGAAGTTAGTGTGTTACCTACTGAGGCTGTTCATTTCATGTTTATTTGTAATGCTTAATGTTTAAAATAAATATCACCTGAATCCTAGATTTGAAGTCACACACACTGACTCTAGAGATATTGTGATTTTTGTAATTAGGGTGCATTTCATAATGAGAAGATATCAGGCAAGTTCAGTTCAGGATTGACTTTTTCTTTCTCATCCACACCATCCTTCTATATATCCTCAGCATCATGCCTTTAATCAAGGATTTCCTTGTGTCCTAGAATGAGGTTAGAGTGTTGGGAATATAGAGTAAATCAGAGAGGGGCTTAATAAACCGTTTTAGCAAAGTTGAGCTTTACTCCCATCAGTTGGTCAATGGGTCACATAGTGGGTACAATAAGAGGGAAGTCCTCATCTGCCAACAATGTCAGAAACAACTAACCTAGCTTCAGTGTGTAGACAGTGTACAGCTCTCAAATGGCTGGAGGCTGCATGGTCTGTAGGCACTGATGGGACTCCTGGGTCCTGGAGAGTTCACATCTGTGAAGAGTGGATATATAATTGGAGACTCAGCCTTCTCTGTCCCTAGAAGCCCTTTGAGTGATTACTGCGCCTCTTCCCAGGCCTGGTACATCTGGGATCATTCAACTATAGCAAGAACAGCAAAGACGTATCTTAGCTCCTGAGGCCCTTTTTCAGTGTGTATGATACGAGTGGCATACAATCACCCAAAAAGAAACATTATTAGCCCCAGGGAATTTTTTGTATGCAGTAGCAACGATAACAATAAGTGTGGAAGGAAGAAGGAGGCAATACTGCAATTCCACATGAATTTTTCTTTTCTTTTTCAGTGAAACTTGTGATAGCTGAATTTGCACAGGATGCAAAAAAAATGTTGGAGGAAATGCAAATAAAGTATCAGCAGATGATGGAACAGAAAGAAAAGTGTCACCAGAAACATGTAAATCAATTTATTGAGAAGATGGAGAGAGATACAGAACAGTTATTCACAGAGCAAAATAGGACTCCAGCTCTTAACTTTCAGGTATACAATTGTGTCATCTCAATTTCATCTTCTATTGGTCCTGTATCTAAAACACAGAATAGGGGAAGAGTATGTCACCCAGAAATAGACCTTTCTAGTCCAGACACAATATTACATTTTTTATTCCCTCTGATCGTAATTCCACACTTACTGCTTCTTTAACCAAAAAACAAACCCTTTGCCATCCAGTAGGTTCTGACTCATAGCACTTGTACGTATGTGTGATGTACCAGTCATGAGGAGGTAAGCCATCCTGGACAATGAGGAAGCATGTGAAAGGGTGGTCAAACAGTTAATAAAATGAACCAGTATTCCTGAAGACTTTTTTTTTAAAATACTATTTTATTGTGTTTTTGGTGAAAGTTTACACAGTAAGTTAGGTTCCCACTTGACAGTTTCCACACAAATTGTTCAGTGACATTAGTTGCATTTTTCAGAATGTGTCAACATTCTGTTTAGTTGTGTTCTGGTTGTTCCATTTCTAGTACTCTAGTCTCCCTGCCCCCTTATAGTCTCATCTTTGCTTTAAAGTAAATGTTGACATTTTGGTCTCATACAGATGGTTTTTCAGTAGAGTACCATACTTAAGGGTAATAACTTTTATTTTGTGTACCACTCTGCTATTTCACTATTGTTGCTACTGCATACAAAAAACTCCCTGGGGCTATTTTTTCTTTTTGGGTGATCATATGCCACCCGTATCATACACACTAAAAAAGGGCTTCAGGAGCTAAGCTGCATCTTAGCTGTTCTTGCTGTAGTTGAATGATCCCAGATGTATCAGGCCTGGGAAAAGGAGCAGTAATTACTAAAAGGTTATCTCAAGGGATAGTTTTTGTTCAAGGTTTAAAGAGTGCCTGAAGGCAATAGTCTCAGGGAGTCCTCTGGTCTCAACTGGTCCAGTTAGTCTGGACTTTTTAAGAATTTGAGTTTTCTTCTACATCTTTCTACCATTCTATCTGGGACTGTCTATTGTGACCCCAGTCAGAATGGTAGGTGATGGTAGCTGGGCACCATCTAGTTCTTCTGGCCTCAGGGTAGATGAGGTTGTGGCTTGTGTAGGCTATCAGCCTTCTAGATTTGTTTCTTCTCTGAAATTTTGGTTATCTTCTTACTCGTTTGCTTCTTTTGAGTAGAGACCAATAGTTATATCTTAGATGGCCACTCACAAGCTTTTAAGACCATAGATGCTACTCACTTCACTAAGATGCAGAACATGAACTTGATGAATTATATTTTGCCAGTTGACTGAGTTGTCCCATGAGACTATGGTTCTAGGCTATTCCTGTTGACTTTTTGAAGCAGAACCATGGACTCTTTAACTCTGAAATCTTATGAGAGAGGGAAATAAATTTTCACCTTATTCATTAACTAGAATATTATTTTTTAGAGAAATGAGCTATTGGAGGCAAGTAATACCCTAAGTGTCATCATCAATGTCAGCAGGTATTATGGGAATAATGAAGGAAGAGATTTATGATCTGCCAACGCCAGGCTACATACTTTTCCCTTAGAAATGTACAAAAGGTAGGAATTTGATATACCTGTGCCACAAGCAGGAAGGTATTATGCACGTGCCTTAAATAACCATTAGAGGTGTCTTTGGAACCTGTATTTTACTGAGAGACTCTTCTGGGTTTGCAGGAAATCATGACATTTAGACCCATCATGATGGCCCCCATTTGTCTAGTAGAAAACCATAAAGAGCAGTTGACGGTGAATCCAAGTGCATTAAAGATTCTTGATGAGATAACCCAGCCTGTGGTGGTGGTGGCCATTGCAGGGCTGTATCGTACAGGAAAATCCTACCTGATGAACCTCCTGGCAGGACAGAACCGTGGTGAGTGTTGTTCTGGGGCAGGGGCAATTAACTTGAAACCAGTGATAATGCAGGATGATTATGCCTCCTCTGATTATGTCATGTTAAGAAAGAGCCCAACTTTTCACAATGACAAAAACTTCTAATTCTTACCATCAAATTTACAACTTCTACCCCATCTGTCCACAAAACCTTGCTCTTTTTTCCTGTAATAAAGAAGAGTTCCCCCAACCCTACATAAAGATCCACCCCAGTAGTCCTCTGGATTCTTTCACACACTCCTGCTCAGGAGCTCAGTTCCTGCACTTATTCCCTTTTTCCATGCAATATTTTGCCTAAACTATGGGGTCATTCCAAATAGCATACAAATGTAGTTTCTTATGTTCTATTTAAAACATGAAAGGAAGGAGGAAATGAAGGAAAGGTCACTTCCGTTTATTTGTTTTTGCTCCATTTCATAGCAAAACTTTGATAAATTATACCCTCTTCTCTTTTATCTATATAATCTTTTCAATTATATGAACTGTAACTCACACAAAAGACTGCATGAAACATAACTGTGCAATAAAATTAATAAAAATAAAGTGAACATTTATGGAATCACTGCCCAGGTCAAGAAATTTTACGAACACTGAAAAGTCCAAATCATACCCTCTTAAAACTGTCACTAGACTCTAGAGCTCATCGATATTTTGATTTTCATGGTAATACTTCCTTTACTTTTAAAAAATGATTTTACACTCTCAGTATGCATTTATTAAAAAAAGAGTTTAGTTTGTCCTAATTTTAATCTTGACTTAAATGGAATTAAATTTTGTATATTATTTTGTGTCTTGCTTGTTTTTCTCATCAAGAAATTTATAGTATTCACCCACTTAATTTATGTAGCTGCAATTTATTTATTTTCATTGCTTTATAGTATGCTATTCTAAGAAGGTACCAAAATGTATCCACTTATGGTTGATGAACCTTTGTATTTTATCATCTATGAACAAGGCTGTCAGGAATTTTCTTGCACTTATAACCTTTTGCACATGTACACAGCTTGCTTTGTGTAATATACCCAAAACTGGAGTTTCTGGATCATAGGTTACGTAGGTCTTCAGCCTTTCTAGATATCAAGCAGATTTTTAACCTTTATGCACAATTCACATGCTTATTAACAGTAACTGAAAATTCTAGACATCCTTACCAATAATTGGTAATATTAGACATTTAATTTTGCAAATTTGGAAGCTGTAGAGTTACACGTCATATGCCTCATTATAAATAAGTTTAAGCACCTTTTGACATATTTATTTAGCATTTAGATTTCCTATTTTATCTTTTTGTTTGTTTGTTTTGTTTTTACTATTGGGTTGTCTCTTTTATTCTTATTGATTTTTCAGAGAATATGTCCAAGTTCCCATTTGTCTTTTTGGTCTACACAGTCCATAAAGTCAGTTTTTCTCCTTCCACCTCAGCACCACTGATGTTTTAACCTCAGTCCAGTAAACTCTCAGGATCTCAACAATCCAGTTCTCACTCTCTCACTCTATCATTCATTTTTCCCTTCCTTCCTTCCTCGCAGCTTTTTGCTTCCCAATCTCCCATTGACTTCTAAATCAAACATTTTCTAACTTTCTTTTGGATGAATTCTTGGCCATCAATCAGGGGAGGACACTTTTCCTTGCCTGGTCCAAATAAATTATATGGGTTTATTGATTGATTGATGGATGGAAGGATTACAGTTCAGAACCTTGAGAGACAGATATCACTCAGGGACTTTCAACATGTCCTTTTTATTTTCTGTTAAAAATAATATCAAATAATAACCAGGTGATGTGACAATGCTCTGCTGATGAAGTTTCTGCTTGTAAAATGTTTTAAACATCTTATGTGTGACTCTATCGAGCCTTCCATATCTTAGAAAGAATATAAAGAAAGAGATTCATTCCCAGTCAAGGTCCATGAGCAGGACCTGATCACTTCTTCCATCTCCCTAGCAATGATTTTCTTTGCTTTTTTATACCTCTGATATCTGAGGGTGATGACCTGCAGTTATACCTTGTCCTTTCTCATTGGGGCACTGGAGTTGGGCTTACTCTACATGAAGCAGCAAGCAATAAAAAAAAAAATTATCATAATGTGGAAAAGTACAGACTAGTTCATGCTTTTATGCCCTCTCCTTGGAGAAAACACAGGGTATGGAAATAGAATAGTCTGAGCCATGCTGAACTGTGCTGCCCTAGACATTTCATCATGTTCATTTCTAGTCTCAGTTGAAAAAAGCATTGCATATGACAGATGTTCGAAATATTGAATTGCTGGCACTGAAAAGATAGATAGACAACTCTACAATAATAGTAGGAGACTTCAACACATCACTTTCAGTGAAGGACAGAACATCCAGAAAGAAGCTCAACCAAGACACAGAAGATCTAAATGCTATAATCAACCAACTTGATCTTACAGATGTATACCAAACACTCTGCTATTGGTATACTTTCTTTTCCAACACACATGGAACATTCTCCAGAATAGACCCCACATTAGGCCATAAAGCAAACCTTAACAGAATCCAAAGCATTGAAATATTATAAAGCATCTTTTCTGACCATAAAGCCACAAAAGCAGAAATCAATAACAGAAAAAGCAAGGAAAAAAAATCAAACACATGGAAACTGAACAACACCTTGCTAAAAAAACTACTGGCTTATAGAAGAAATCAAAGATGGAATAAAGAAATTCATAGAATCAAATGAGAATAAAATACATCTTACCAGAAGCTTTGGGACACAGCAAAAGCAGTGCTCAGAGGTCAGTTTATAGCAATAAATGCATACATCCAAAATTAAGAAAGGGCCATAATCAAAATATTAACCCTACAACTGTAACAAGTAGAAAGAGAGCAGTAAAAGAAGCCCTTGGACACCAGAAGAAAGGAAATAATAAGAATTAGAGTAGAATTAAATGAAAAAGAGAAAAGAAAAACAATTGAAAGAGTTAACAAGACCAAAAGCTGGTTCTTTGAAAGGACCAACAAAATCGATAAACCATTGGCCAAACAGACAAAAGAAAAAGAGGAGAGAAAGCAATAACCTGTATAAGAAATGAGATGGGTGGGATCACAACAGACTCATCTGATATTAAAAGAATCATAATAGAATACTACGAAAAACTGTACTCTAACAAATCTGAAAAACTAGAGGAAATGGACAAATTTCTAGAAACACACTACCTACCTAAACTAACACAGAGGTAGAACAACTAAGTAAACCAATAACAAAAGAAGAGATTAAAAGGTGATTAAAAAAACTCCTAACAATAAAAAAGAAAAAAAAGCCTTGGCCCTATGGTTTCACTGGAGAATTCTACCAAACTTTCAGAGAAAAGTTAACACCACTACTACTAAAGGTATTTCTGAGCATAGAAAAGGATGGAATACTCCCAAACTCATTCTATGAAGCCAGCATAACCCTGATACCAAAACCAGGTAAAGACATCACAAAAAAAAGAAAATTACAGACCAATATCCCTCATGAACATTGATGTGAAAATCGTCAACAAAATTGTCACCAATAGAATTCAGCAACATATCAAAAAAATAATTAACCACGATCAAGTGGGATTTATACCAGGTATGCAGGGATGGTTCAACATTAGAAAAACAATTAACATAATCCATCACATAAATAAAACAAAAGACAAGAATCACATATTCTTGTCAATCAATGCAGAAAAGGCATTTGACAAAGTCCAACACCCATTCATGATAAAAACTGTCAACAAAATAGAAATAGAAGGGAAATTCCTCGGCGTAATTAAGGGCATTTATACAAAGCCAACAGCCAACATCATCCTAAATGGAGAGAGTTTGAAAACGTTCCCACTGAGAACAGAAACCAGACAAGGATGCCCTTTATCACCACTCTTGAATAACATTGCACTGGAGATCCTAGCCAGAGCAATTAGGCTAGAAAAAGAAATAAAGCTCATCCAGATTGGTAGGGAAGAAGTCAAAGTATCTCTATTTGCAGATGATATGATCTTATACACAGAACACCCCAAAGAATCAACAAGAAAACTACTGGAACTAATAGAAGATTTCAGCAAAGTATCAGGATACAAGATAAACATACAAAAATCAGTTGGATTCCTCTACAACAACAAAGAGAACTTTGAAGAGGAAATCACCAAATCAAGACCATTTACAATAGCCCCCAAGAAGATAAAATACTTAGGAATAAATCTAACCAGAGACATAAAAGACCTATATGAGGAAAACTACAAGACACTATTGCAAGAAACTAAAAGACACCTGCATAAGTGGAAAAACATACCTTGTTCATGGATGGGAAGAGTCAACATTGTGAAAATATCAGTTCTACCCAAAGCGATGTACAGATACAATTGCAATCCCGATCCAAATTCCAATGGCATTTTTTAATGAGATGGAGAAACAAATCACCAACTCATATGGAAAGGGAAGAGGCCCCAGATAAGTAAAGCATTACTGAAGAAGAAGAACAAAGTGGGAGGCCTCACACTACCTGATTTTAGAACTTATGATACCACCACAGTAGTCAAAACAGCCTGGTACTGGCACAACAGATACATAGACCAATGGAACAGAATTGAGAATCCAGACATAAATTCATCCACCTATGAGCAGCTGATATTT